TTGGAATGAATCGCACGCACCGTCCTTAAGCATGCGAACCACCCCCCGAGAATGACGAGTTTCCGGAAACGAGTCGATCCCCCGCGAGAGGAAATTCCGTTCATCCCACGCAAGAAGATTTCCACGCCGTCCTTCCACTCGCATCCCCGTTTTCCCGGGTAGAATGATGAACCCTGAAAGAAAAGTGCCGAACCCCACACTTTTTTCCTCCCAGAAGGTTGGTAAGGTACAGGTCTGACTCTTCGTCTGCAATCGGGAAAAACGTCCCTCAACCGCCGCGCATCGGGAACAAGTCCCTAAATACCCTGTCGGCCGGCGGAAACGCTGGGTCAGGGTGTCCCGTCGACCGTTTTAAAACAATGCGCAACAAGCAGGATCCGAATTACACGATCAGAGTCATCCGCTGCACCCGGCCTCCAAGTAGCTGGATTGCAGAAGCACGCCACTAACTCCCGGCCCCCTTCTTCTGTCGACCTAAGACAGCAAAAAAAAAAAAAAACAAAGATGTGACTTTCACAGAACTCCTGATCCTGGTTACTCCACAAAAGTTGTTGTGTTCAGGAATAAGATGAACTCAGTTAAGACTTGCGACAAGAATTGATGTGGTTCTATTTGATTTATCATCACTAGATATATTCAGGGATTTATTCCTTAAAGATCAGGAGGGAAAAAATCTGGAATAAAAGTTGAAAAAAAAAAACTCCGGCAATGACTTGTCGTGAATGAAAAAATTGTGATTGAATTTAATAAATAACAAAGGATTACCGTATAAATGATTATTAAAAAAACAAATATATATTAATACATTATTTAATTAAATTTTTACTAAATTATTATTATTATTTATTTTACAAGTGCGATTTTCGAGAGAGAAAAAAAATATTGAATATGAATGACGGGTATTATTATTATTATTATTATTATTATTATTATTATTATTATTATTATTATTATTATTATTTATTCTCATAATTTAACTTCACAGAAATCATTGAAATCATATAAAGGTTGTGTGAAATCACCGATATTAGTAATACCATTTAAATTAATGTCACTTTTTTTTTTATTTTCTTCTTCTTTTATCTGGAAATTTTTTTCTTCTTCGTTGAAAACATCAAAATCCGTTTCAACGAGGCCGTTCCTGTCTAAAAAAAAGGGAATATTTTCATTTGATGGAAATAAAAAGGTATTATTATTATTGGTCTTCGTTTTATTTTTCAAATTTGATATCGTTTCGATGATGGATTGAATTGATTTATTATTATTATTATTATTATTGCTATTATTGCTATTATTATTATTATTATTAATCCAGGTATTTGTTCTGCACAAAGATTGCGGTTTGACGAGTATTAATGAATCGCTGTCGCATTTTGTCAAATTATTTTCGGAAAAGGCACCACTCAAATCCCGTTTAAAAAATTTTTCCAATTTATTATTATTATTATTATTAATTATAGGTAAAAATAATTTCGATTCTAATTTTTTTTTATTTTCAATGGGCTCTCCTTCTTTCCCTTCATTCATTTTTCCAAAATTATCCAAGTCTAAACTTGTGTGAAATGATTTTGATTTTCTTAAATCCAACCAATAATCTTGATTATAATTTAAATGATTGTCTTGCAAGCTTATTTTCCTTAAAAAAGTTTTTCTTTTCAATTCTGCCATTTTACATTGTTTTAATTGTTTTCTATTTGGATCCGTTTCGATTTCTTGTACCCTATTAGATAATAATTTAAGGGTGTTTTCATGTTCCCCCATTGGGTCGAATACACCATTGTAATCTTCTTGATTTATAGTTTTTTGTTTTTTGAAAGAAGACCTCGTGTACCTTCGGATTTTTTCATTTTGATAATATGTTTGTGTATTAATATTATTATCAAACGTTTCCTTGTCTTTGGATTCTTTTAAAAGCAAACAAGAATTTGTATTCTCTTCTCCTTCCTCTTCTTCTTCCTCCCCCTCATCCTCCTCCTCCTCCTCTTCCTCTTCGCGTAATGGATTTTTTTTATCCTTTTTTTCTGTTGATATTTCCTCAGAATTTTTGCATTCTAACAAATTTGTTTTATCCTTTTCCTCGTACGTGTTTTCCCTTTTTTCAATATTAAAAAAATTATCATAATCTCTTAGTGAAAAATATTTTTTCTTTTTTAAAGTGTAACTATTATTATTATTTTTTTTTTTTTCTCGAATGTTTTTCAACCGAATTTTATCGTTTACACAAAATTGTGGTGTCACAATGGAAATAACGTCTTTCGTCGGAATATTTTCGCGCCGGGGTTGTGTTACTTGGCACAAAGGAATCGATTCAGCCGAAAAATAGGCACGAATGTTATTTAATTGAACTTGTCGAGAAACTTCACAAGGCTGGGAAGTTTTTATGTAGGAGGGCAACGTTGACGTCATTCCTGTTTTTGATCTATGATTCCACTTTGATGATGATGATGATGATGATAAATACTTGTTTGCGGAGGATCGTTCGTCGAAAAATCGAGGCGACCACCGCAAATGCTGAATTCAAATAATTACATGAAAAGAAAAAAAAAAACATGGTGTCAAACGAAGATGCATGTAAAAGTAATAACTATGTTGTCTAGCATGAAAGTGTATTACGTATAAGCAGTAACAATAACAAGGTGAAAGAAAGGAGTGCATTATCATGGTTTTTTTTTTTTTTTTAAATGAAAAAGTCAAAAAATCTTACTGAATGTTATGTATCATCTACTCGGTGCAACAAAGCAAAACGGCAACCGCAGTCTCTTGTCCTATCAGGCCGATTAAAATGAAGACAGTGATCGACAAGGCAGCAACTGTCCTGAATCATGCAAAACATACGTTGACAATCGGTTAGTATCTGTAACACCCATAATTTTTCTCGTCTAACTTATTTTATGTTTTATTTTTCCTAACAAAAGTGTTTTTTTGATATGTTTTTATATCGGAAAATTTTAAATAAATAATAATTATTCGTTTAATTAATTAAAATTTGTAGCCAAATAATAATAGAAAGAAAAAAAAATGTATGCATATATGTATAAAAATAATTTTGTCAATAAATAATATCTCAAATAAATTTATTTAAAAAACTCAATTTGACGTTGATTTAATTTAAAAATTATTCCTTTCCTTTCCTTTTTGTATTTTTCCAACCGATAATTTCAATAATAAATATATTTTAAAGCATGCATTACTCTCTCTCACCCGCGCGCGCGCACACACACACAAATTTTAATAAAAAAAAAAAAAAAAAAAGCCACAAGTTTTTTTAGTGTGTCAATCAAAAGGCTGTTTTTATAAATAATAATAATAATAAAATATGCAAAGAAGGTAACATCAAAACAGCGCACAAAAGCTTACTTTCTAATTTAATAAGCTACAATTTACTCCCATTATTATAAATAAAAAAAAAAGAAAACATCAAAAGCCTTTTTTCTAACATTTATTTATTTATTTAATAAGTCATAAGTCTTCTTTATTTATTTTTTTAAAATTAATTATGAACTCCGAGTGGGAAAAATGAGGATGGATAAAATAAGATGAAAAGAAAAGAAAAAAAAAATTAATCCTAAGAATTATCCCTCTAACTAAATTTATCTTATAAATAATTTAAAAAAAAAAAAAAATTCAAACGTTAATTTTTTCCTCTCATTGGCCTTTCGCTGAGGAAACAAAGAAAGACTTATAGACTTAAATTCAAATAAAAAGGGATATATATATATAAAATATTTGTATGGGTATATGAATGTAGATAAATTATATACATGAGAATAAATTTTAAAAAAAAGTCTCACCGGATTATTGCGTTTATTCATCTATATCAGAATCTTCGTTTGCTCTTGTTCTGTCACCCACAATGCATTCGCAACAACATCGGCACGCTGTCACCTTCTCATATATCGACTGTCAAAAAGATAAACAATCATCGTCTTATACAGTTTTATTTATTTATTATTTTTTTTTAAACAACACCCATTTATTTATTTATTTATTTACACAGCCTTTTGCTTGATACTTATTCAATTGATTGAAATAAAAAAACGAGAGTTTTCGATTCCGATTATAGATTTTCTAATGAAAAATAAAATGTTCATAATTCAACTATAATAAATTATTTATATCTATGTGTGTGTGTGTGTGTGTGTGTGAAATTAATTATGACGTCACGTCGTATAAACGAATAATTATAATTAAAATACCAAAGTATTAAAAAAAAAAAAAAAAAAAAAAAAAAACATTCCGTCACTTTCCTTATATATTATTTTTACTTTACGCTCTCTTCAATATCTATATCATACTACGGTTGGTTATTATATTAAAAAAAAAAAAAGGTTTGACATGACAAAAGATTAACCTGAACGCAGCCTGGACCATCTTGGTGCGTTTGCGAATCGCAATTTCCCGTCCTGTTTGTAATCATTGTCGTACCCGTGCCTGGAACTTTTAAAGATTGTTGAGTTTTATAATCTGGCTGATAAGGTATAAGCATTCTTATTTTCCCCCATCTATGAAAAAACAATGCTATTGCAATTATCCAAACGACGAGTGCAAGCAAAACCAATCCTATTTCTACTCCCTTAACCTGTAAATATAAAATTTTGTCGAATTTTTTAATAAAAAATTTCAAAACAAAAACGCGTGTATGTATGTATATGACTTACTGTCGTAGAAGTCTGAGGTGTGTTTTTCGATCCTATAGCTGTTGGATCAGGATTAACCAATTCTGGTGCGTAAGAATAATGTTTTCGTGGATTTGGTGGTTTAAAAGTGGATTTAGCCGATTCGAGTTCTAAATAGTCTTTGGAAGCATTGGCCGTCTTGAACACTATACGTCGACTTTTGTAATTTTTTCCATTTACGACAGCTGTGACGATGACCTGATATTGAGTGTCTGGCCTGAGTTCCCGAAGAATCACGGAACGACTGTTACCTGCTGCTTGTGTGACGATTCTTGTTTATGTAAAAAAAAAAAAAAAAGAAAAAAATTACTTATGAGTAATGAAGTGTGATGAGAGATCAATCATAATCGTACGGGGAAAAAAAAAAAAAAAGAAAACATCGAACGCGAAAAAGTAAAAAAAAAACATGAAAAAAAGTAAAAAAAAAAAAACAAGTGAGGGGAGGAGGGGGGGGGGGAAACAAAAAAATCTTGAATTAAAGGAAATCAATGTGCAAGGCAACGTCAATTTAACATGAAAATTTGATGATAGCCTAAAAAAACTGTTTGAGTCACGAGTCGTTTTTTATGTTACCTGTCTTCTGCTGGATTGTATGTAACATCGTATCTTTCGACATTTTTCCATTCGGACGACCAGAAAACTTCAACGGTTTTCGAATCGATTATTTGTATGGTTACATTTTCTGGAAAACCTAAACCTGGTTCTTCACTTTTTGAGCCTAAAAGTAAAGCTCCGTGAAAAAGGAAAAAACACAAAACTTTCATTTCACTCATTTTTAAATGCGTATGACTCTGATTTTGTCCACATTTTCTTTTCTTTTCTTTTTCTTTTTCTTTCTCTTTTATTCGTTAATAATGATTAAAAAAAAAAAAAAAAATTGTTGATGTTGACCGATGTCGAGGAGATTTTTAATAATAATAATAATGTTAATTCCCTTTGTAAACACACCACAAACATCGAGTTTTCCTTTCTGAAAATCAATAAATTTTTTTATAAAAAATAATAACAATAACAATAATAATGATATTAAAATTTACAAATTTCATTGTTTTTAATAATAAATAAAAAAAAGGAAACACACATAAGTATATATATATATTAACGTGAAATGAGGATAATTTAAGGAAACCCAAATTAAAAAAAAAAAAAAAAAAAAAAAATTCATCATTTTATTCCATGAATTTTTATTTTCTTAATATAATTATTGATTTTTTTAGCGGTCGATTGAATTTTTTATTTAGTAACCGGGACCAAACAATCATTTTACGTAATTTTTCCGTATAAACCCCCCCCCCTTCCCTTTCCTTCCCCCTACATCCTTTCGTCATCCGTTGTTTACTTTCTTAAACTTTTATTTTTTTTTTTTATTCACTCGTACAAAAATAATAATTTTTTTTTAATTTGGTGATGATTTAATTCCGTCAACACTTGTTGGTTGGTTGGTTACAATTCTACAAAAAATTTTTTTTATAAAAAAAAAAAAGGTCATTAATAATAATAATAATAATAATGCTAGGACGATTTGTATTCGTTTGTTAATTGACTTTAATACACAAAAAAAAAATTTATTAAAAAAAATAATTATTTTATTATTATTATTACTATTTTCCTTGGTAAAAAAAAAAAAAAAAAAAAAAAATTTGGGGGAAAAAGTTATTTATTTACAAGTCCACAAATAAAAATAAATAAATAAATAAATAATTTTTTTATAACTCACCGAAACTTTTATTATACATAGACAAAAAAAAAAAAAAGAAATTTATTTATGGCAATAAAAATTGAAAAAGAAAAAGAAAAAACGACACATGACGGTATAAATATATATTAACAAGTCGATTCACCACCACAAACTAGACAAAATAAAAAATCCTTTTGTGTCATCGGAATCAAAAAAAAAAGAAATTTTCATATTAATTACAACTCGAATAGAATAAAATTTCTGGACACGCGCATTCAATAGTTTATCATATGTTAACTTATTTACTCCCCTCACCCCTACCCCTACCCATCCCTTCATCCCTTCATCCTTTTTTTTTTTTTTTAATAATTATTTGTTTAACAAAAAAAAAAAAAGGAGGAGGAGGAGAAAAATATCTATTATTATAATCATCAAGTTTTTTTTTTTTTTTAAAGAAAATTGGGATAAACGGAGGAGAGGGAGGGTGAGGGGTGGAGGGTGGAGGAACGAATGGGAAAATCCCTTAAATTATTATAATTAATAAAAGAGAAAAAAATAATATTTTTTAATATTATTTTTCATTGATAAAAGTATAATTATTATTGAAATTTATATATACTGTTATGTTCGGTTCGTTTCTTTATATTATAAGTTGCGAACAAGCACTTAAAACTATCACTATAACAAAATTAATATTAATGGATAAGAACTTAATATAGCAAAACTAAGAATCAAAAGAACGCGTGCAAAGCTGTGAAGCTTCCCTTTATAACTTCGGTTTTTCGGTAGTCAATTGTTTCGAATGTCCAACAATCTAACACGAGCAATACTTGCAAATAAAATAAAAGAAAGAGTTTCTAGAACCTTTGCTTCTAAAGAAGAACAATTTGAGTTCATCGTTAGTCTTTTGTCTATAAAAATTTGAAAAATGTGAATATTGAGTACGGGATCATACAATACTATTAAAGTTTGTTAAAAATAATAATAATTTTTATCGTCGGAACATGTAATTTAATAAAATAAATAAACGCCATCATCATCATCATCATCATCATCATTATCATCATCATTATCATTATTAATAATTTAATTTTTTTTTTCTTTCTAAAATTTAAATCGTTTAAATAAATCAAAATAGAATAAACATTATTTAATTTAATTACATTTTGGTCAACAAATACCGCCGCGATTGTATTTGTTTCACTTCATCTTTTTTCTTCGGAAAATTTTTTAACGAGCATTAACAATATTTTATTTTTATTATTATTATTAATAAAATCAACAACTTGAAATAATAATAATTATTTTTGGATAACTTGAAAACCAAAAAAAAAAAATT